GTAGACCGGGATCAAGTGTTCTATGACCGGCAATCTTTCCTGGCGAGAGGTTTATATACAGGGTGTCCCTAAAAGGTCTGTACAACGCGCTACCAGGGGTTCTTGGTATCAAAATAGGACGATTTAACCAAAATTACCTCTATCCAAAAGTGCTTCGGTAAGGCGCTATCTACTGCCAAAGATTTAAAAAAAAAATCGTTATTTTTATTTTATCGGAAAATGGTTTTGCCGATTAAAATGAAATTCGGGATCTGAATGTCTAATGTAAAAAGGGTCTTTGTGATATCATCGTTTTGATTGTAGTTGCTATGTAGGTGGTAAAATACTGACCGTCCACATCTGAAGAGGTCTAAAACTTGTTAACTACTATTTTGACGGTTCTGAATTTTTAGACACTGATAGACAGTTTACTTGTAAGCATTTTTTGTCTCTTGATGAATATCGCTATCTGTGATGGTTTACAAAAAAAAAAAATTTAGGCATGATGAATGGCATACACCATACATGCGATTGTTCCTAAAAAATCAGAAGATGGCTGTGAAACAGAGTGGCGTAACGTTTGTTTGTTGTTTCTTAAACTTTAACAATTTACGTTTTGCTTGAAGACTTAAAATTTTATTGTTAAAATTGTAATACCTATGGCCTTTCAATACAGTAACGCAGAGTTAACTGATATGCTATTAGTGTTTGGATACTGTCGTGGAAATGGTCGCAAAAAAAAACGTAAATTGTTAAAGTTTAAGAAACAACAAACAAACGTTACGACACTCTAAGGTTTCACAGCCATCTTCTGATTTTTTGAGGAACAATCGCATGTATGGTGCATGCCATTCATCATGCCTAAATTTTTTTTTTTTGTAAACCATCACAGATAGCGATATTCATCCAGAGACAAAAAATGCTTGCAAGTAAACTGTCTATCAGTGTCTAAAAATTCAGAACCGTCAAAATAGTAGTTAAAAAGTTTTAGACCTCTTCAGATGTGGATGGTCAGTATTTTACCACCTACATAGCAACTACAATCAAAAAGATGATATCACAAAGACCCTTTTTACATTAGACATTCACATCCCGAATTTCATTTTAATCGGCAAAACCATTTTCCGATAAAATAAAAATAACGATTTTTTTTTTTAATCTTTGGCGGTAGATAGCGCCTTACCGAAGCACTTTTGGATAGAGGTAAGTTGGGTTAAATCGTCCTATTTTGATACCAAGAACCCCTGGTAGCGCGCTGTACAGACCTTTTAGGGACACCCTGTATATTCCCTTATACCTCAAGAACGGATTGTCGGAAGAGGGTACTCACAAAGGGCGATTGAGACGTCTGTAAGAAATATATCCGTTGGTGATGTCAAAACAAAAGCTATTTCGGTTTTAAAAAAATGCGCTTTATCTGCACAAGAATTGTGCACAATTTATACTTGTTTTCTGTATCGTTTCAATAAAGTATGATTATAGCAATGCATTTTGAATGGATCCTCGTGCGGTTTCAACCATCATTCAGCGGGTTAAAATTTAAATATAAGTTTTAGTTTTTATGTAATGCATTTGCAATAAAATAAATTCCTAAAATATAAATAAAATATTTATTGCATTTGAATATTTATTGCATTTGATAAAACAATGTAAATAAATACCTACTGATTATTCGGCGTCATATTAGTTCATCCGTGGGCGAAACTCGTATAGAGGAAAGTACATTTGCATAGGTTTCCGTGCATGCGTTTATAGAGAAATTCAATTCATTTACTTTTAAACCAACTAAATTAAAATTAGTGATGCCAAACACGTATCACACGAACTCAGCCATGTAAACCATAGGTAAACATAAGGTTGTCAACCACGTTGATCCGAATGATACATTAGGTATATATACTACTGCGTACATATTACATGATTTGATTCTTATAGTTAAACGTAACCTTAGCAGTTTTAGGAACTTATTAAATGATCCCTATATATTGATCATTCCGTGCAACTGTTTATTTTGCATTAATTAGAAGTATTGCTGTGGATGCCTAGTATGACTTGAAAAAGTCAAAACCACTACATTTTAACACAAATCTTATTTGCCTTATATTACAAAACATTCGGCTTGTTCACACTAACATAAAACTAAAACTAAACATTTACGGGGTTTCTAAAGACACGTGACATTTTTTAAATAATTACAAAAGCCTTAAATCTAAAATCAAAACCCAGCTTTCTCAAACTTAACTGCAACTAAATTTGATCTACCCCGAAATAAATTTAATGTTCATCAAACACCATAGACAAAAATAGACTTACTTCTTAAACACCTATGTCCTATATGACTTCTTTAACGGTAGGTATAGTGGTATGGTTTCTGACCACATTAAATAATAAGGCATGTAAATTAAGTACACCTTTAATTAAAGTAAATATAAACTTAGTAAACAGGTACGTTTCTGTTGACGTTTAGTATTATACTGGAAAATCCTAATGTGAATACATTACACCCCCCTTCTTAAACAAAATTTAAAAAAATAACATTTAATTGGTATACTTAAATATTACCATTGATTATGATAGTGTATATAATCAATGATACCATACAGAATACAATTATTCCAATTACATGGCACTGGGATGCTGTACTTAAAACTAAAACTACACAGTAATTACGATCTTATATGACTAATTAATTCATTCAAAGAGCCGTGAAATACATCGATGTCTCCCTCACGGCACTTCTTATTTAAAGCCAACAGGCTCCTCGATAGTGGCGATGACGGAGTGGTCACTAAAAAGATGATATCGTTTTTCCTTAATTTAACATGGGGCACTTTGAGTTTAATTTCCTGAAGCAATGCTGGGGCATTTAGGTGATTATTCAGTATCTTGTACACAAAGGTAGCACAGATCACTTCGCGTCGGATTTGTAAACTTGAGATTTTAATACCGTGCACACTATTTAAAAATTTTAGTTGATTGGAGTAAGAGATTAAATGTGGAAAATTTTGAGTCGACCTAAAATACACTATTCGCACTAATTTTTTTTTAACTTTCTCTATCATGTCTGCGTGCTTATAAGTTTGGGGTGTCCAAATACATGTCTGCCCCTTCTGGTATAATAGTCGCTCGTCACAATCGGGTTTGTCTCACTGGAAGTAGTGCCCACTTTCACTTCAGGTTCGCACTTCAGAGTTTCTTCGCTCATCCGTCTGGGATTGATCTGTTTCCTATTCATCCGGTAATCCGCTTCACCTATGCGAACTATGTAGTCGTTAGGGCCTGATTTCTTCATTACAACGCCAGGTTTTCAATTACGTCCAATTACCTTCTTGAACGAATACGTCTTGTTGTGGCTTTAACTCGCTCAGCTTTTTCGTTGAAACGTCATAGTACGCCTTTTGCCTTTCTTGTAGAAGTGTTAGCTGGTCCTTAATACCTCGAATTGGGAACTTAGGCTCGAGAAGTTTACAACTAACGGGTAAAGCTGTCCTTAATCTTTCTTCCCATCAGCAGCTCACTAGGAGAAGGTAAGTTTTGTTTGACAGTAACATTATAATTTAATATAGCGGCGAATGGATCTTCTTTTTCTAGGAGACACTTTGTTAAAAGACTTTTTACAGTCTGCACTGTTCTCTCAACCATTCCATTAGATCTGGGATATCGAGGACTTGATATCATACCTATTTGTAAATTCTATAAAGTCCCATGAATTGAACGGAGGTCCATTGTCGGAAAATACTTCTTCAGGCAATCCATTAATTGCAAAAATATTCTTCAAGCATGAGATAACAGTGTTACGGTCTATTCAGTATATCTTCCGTTGCACATTACCTGAAGAAAACGACGTACCAACGTAAACTTACTTTCGTTTGTTAGGCAACACATTAAGCATGTAGTTTATTTTAGCCGCAACAATTGGTAGCATTTCGCTATGTTGTCGGCTTGTCGCGTTTAAATTTGTAAATCTGACAGTTGCTTTTGGTTTACTTTTCGTTTGATTTGATTTTGATTATTTTCTACGTCTTTCGCTGTGCATTGGTTTGAACAAAAATTACTGAAGAATTTAGATAACCCGTCAGTAATTGTATTAGATAACGCACATTGCTCACGAAGATAACGAACACTTGGAAAACAGGCAACATTAAAGTGTGGTTAGGTGATCATAATGTGCAGTTCTCCGAAAACGATTTTATTTGTTACTCAGTTGTAAACGGTGATTAACAAGACAAAACGGAAACGGGTAAACGTCATGTTTAAACGCTACTGACTTGTAAAACTGACAGCAGACTTGTAAAACTGACAGCAGACCTGTAAAAATTTTACAAGTTAGTAATCTAGTAATTTCATTGGCCAGAATTAATGCGAAGTCTCTGTTACATGGATGACATGATATTTTAGACATTTCTTCAAGATAAATTTAAGAACTAATTATTTACGTTTACTATTGTTTACAAATGAGTAACAAATAAAATATTGTACATTATACGCCAGGTAATAGTTTTTACTGGCTCTGGGAGATGACAGGCTCGCCTAACGGCTCGCCAGTCAACTTCTCCTATCGCCAGTAAAAACTCACTTACCTGGCTAATAATGTAAAATACTATTAAACCGAACTGTTGATAAAGGTTGCACAGTAAGTACGTCCGCAAATTATGTGATATTATCTAAATCTTGCTTGATACTTTTAGGAATAAACCAGCTAAAATTTACCGCATAACGCATTGACCACTTAGCCGAGCAATATTGTAGTGAATATTAAGAGGTCTCCACTGGTAAAAACAAGCGTACCAACTGACGCTTCCTGTTAGTTTTTTTGTACGTATAATGCCAGTTTAGTGACATGTTAGATTTTGTAATGTGAATATATAAATATATAACTTTTTGCTGTGTTGTACCGCGGGTTAATTTCTATCCACCCACTTCGTCATGAGCATTGGTCACCACAGTGAAATTGGCGACGAGAGAAGTAAAAAGAGCAGACGAATTGAATAGGTCCACATTGCCGTTAGAATTATAACAAAATGGCCGCAATTTCACCAGAACAACTAGCGCAAATTACTGCCGCCGTTGCTGCTGCATTTCTACAAATTGACCAGACTAGAGCTACGCCGTTAACAACACCGTCAGTAAATCCAAACATCCCCCCATTCGAGCAGTATGACGCCAAGAAGGAAGACTTCAAGTTATACAGGGAACGATTCGAAAATTACTTGCGCATGAAGGAAGTGTTTGATAACAAGACCAAGTCCGCTTGCCTACTTCTAGGGTCTATTGGAGCGACACACTACCAGACAATAAATGCCTTAGTAGCGCCACAAAAGCCATCCGAACTATCATACGATGAGCTGATTACCCATTTAGAGAAACATTTGTCACCTGAGCGGAACATGCTCGTGGCCCAACACTATTTTTTATCAACTTACCAGTCTGGAAAACAGAGCATCAGTGAATACGTTACTGAACTGAAGAAAAATTTAGGGGCATGCAACTTCCTGGCAAAGTGTCAATGTACTCAAGAGGTTTCAACAGCGGAACAATTTTTAAGAGCGCAGTTTATTCGAGGGTTGAAAGATACCTGGATCACCGAGCAGTTACTCCAGTCAAACCTCACAGAATTTAACGAAATCGTGAAAAAGGCAATAGCTTTAGAAGCAGCTCGAACTGATAGTCAAAATTTAGCGAAAACTTCAACTCCATCAACAAATACATCAATAAATAGTGTGATTCCGAGCAGAGAAGGACAATTTACGAGACGTCAGAGCCAAAATTCTCAGCACAATCGAAAGCCGGATCATAATCGTCATAGGTCATCATCACGCAACTATCGACAACAGTCACACCAAAATCGTAATTCTTCACGAGGCCGGGTAAACTACCGTGAGTTAGGAATTGACAATATGTGCTTATTCTGTGGTCGTGACAACCATACGTCAAAAGACTGTCGTGTACAACAAACAAACTTAAAGTGTACCGGTTGTGGCAAACAAGGACATGTTGCGAATGTTTGCATTTCAACGTTAATCAAATCAAAACGTGATAGTAGTGCACATAATACTACCTACAACATTGATAATTTCAGTGTGAATCGTATTGAAGATGTATATTCATCCGAAGGAGACGATACCCGTAAATACTACACATTCATCAATGTCGAAGGACAAGCAATTCAATTTGAGGTCGACTCCGGAGCGGGATTCACGTTACTTCCAAAAGACCTTTTCGATAAACTTAACTGCAAGCAAAAACTGAAACCGTCTAACCTAACATTTCGTACTTACACACGTCAAACCTTTCAACCACATGGGAAAGTACAAGTAATGGTTCAATACCACAATTATCAAAATCCCACATTAGAGGATCTATACGTAGTGCCTGAGGGGTATGATCCATTAGTAGGTCGCGAATGGATTCGCCATCTAAACATTCAATTACAGGAAATCGATAAACAGACCAGTAAAAAATTAACACAAATCCATAGTGATTACATAAATTCAATTGAGTCGGTGCGTGAACAATTTCCCAATATCTTCGAACAAAAAGTGGGATGCGTTCCGAATGTAGTGATTAAGTTAGCGCTTCGCGATAATGTCAAACCTGTGTACACACGAGAACGGAGTGTTGCATATGCGTTACGCGATAAAGTTAGTCACGAATTAGAAATGTTAGAATCTGCCGGAATTATAAGTAAATGTGATGTAAGTGACTGGGGTTCACCACTTGTGGTGGTACAAAAACCACAAGGAGGTGTGCGGCTTTGTGTCGATTATAAAGTTGCCGTAAATGACAGTTTAGTGAACGTGAACTACCCCATTAAGCGCGTAGACGAAGTCCTTAACAGTTTGCGGGATTCGTCCTACTTCTGTAGACTCGACCTTTATAAGGCATATTTACATTTACGTGTAGACAAAGACAGCAGGGTAATACAAACTATGTCTACCCACCAGGGGACATATCATGTAAATCGTTTGAATTTCGGAATTAAAACGGCTCCAGCTGAGTTTAACCGAGTCATTGATCAGATTCTACGGGACTGTCCAAAAACAACCTCATATTTTGACGACATAATTGTGCATGGTAACTCTTACAAAGAATGCTACAGCAATTTAATTAAATGCTTAACCAAATTGCAAGAAAACGATCTTCACCTGAACGAGGCAAAGTGCAGTTTTTTTCAGAACGAAATCGAGTATCTAGGATACATCATAAGAAAAAACACCATTGCAAAGTCACCCGATAAGGTAAAAGCCATATTGAACATGCCTAATCCGAAAAGTGTTGCAGATGTCCGGCGATTTCTCGGCATGATAACTTATTACGCAAGATTACTCCCAAATCTATCGAGCATGACTACACCTTTACGAAAATTATTACAACACGATAATCAGTTCTTGTGGAATCAAGAGTGCAACCAAGCATTCAACAATTTGAAAATGGAAATTGCCAGTGACCGAGTTGTTGTACCGTATGACCCCGAGCAACCAGTTTTATTAACCACCGATGCCAGTCCATATGGAATTGCAGCTGTGTTATCCCATTCTACAGCCAACGATGAACGTCCAATTGCATTTGCGTCCCGATCCTTAACCAGGGCCGAGCAGAATTATTCCCAGCTCGATCGAGAAGCATTGGCGATCGTTTATGGTGTTAGTCATTTTCAACAGTATTTAATTGGAAAAAGCTTTACACTGAGCACCGACAATCAACCTTTAGTGCGGATTTTTAACTCGAAATCAAAAGCATCGAAAACCACATCGTCACGCCTCATTCGCTACGCTTCATTTTTATCAACGTTTGATTATAAAGTACAGTTTAAGAAAGGCATCGATAACACCAACGCTGATTGTTTATCACGAGCACCACTACATGATGACAAAGGAAAAATTGAAACAGCATTTGACGAAGAACTCGATCAAGTTAACCACGAACAGGTATTCAATATCTCGACAGACCAAATAGGATATGAGCGTATAAAGTACGAGACTGGAAGGGATTCCGAAATGTGCAAAATTATCGAACAAATGAAGACTCAACGCATCGAATCTGAATTCCTTTTAAACGACGGAGTCTTATACAGGAGCCATAGGATTGTCATACCGAAGACAATGCAAGCTGATATTTTAAACGACTTACACTCAACACACCTAGGGAGCACCAAAATGAAACAGCTGGCACGACGCTATTGTTATTGGCAAAACATCGACAAAGAAATTGAAAACATCGTTCGAGCATGTGAAGAATGCAAGAAAAGGCTCCATTCACCACCCAAAGCTGAAGTCCATCGCTGGGAACTACCTCAAGAGAATTGGGACAGGGTACATATCGACTACGCAGGACCCATCGATCATGTCTACATCCTCTTATGCATAGATGCGAAGTCAAGGTGGGCCGAAATGGAAGTCCTACGAGAACATCCTAATTCAGAAAACACCATGGAACTTTTAAACAGAATTTTCTCTCGAAATGGATATCCAAAAGAAATGGTATCAGACAATGCCACAATTTTCACGAGTAACGAGTTCAGAACGTATTGTAAGAATAACGCTATTTTCCAAAAATTTATCGCACCAGGACATCCTGCCACGAACGGACTGGCCGAGAGAAATGTACAAACTCTCAAAAACAAATTAAAATCAATGTCAACGGAAAGGATCCCATTGGAAACAAAAATTATGAAAATATTATTCCGATATCGAGCGACACTGTTACTAAATGGAAAGACACCAGCAGAACAATATTTAAACAGAAAATTCAGAATCCGTTTAGACTCAATGTTTCTTCATATTCCTACACCGAATCAAGACCTGCAAAAACGTCGTGCACGTTCACATCAAGCGGGAGAGGACATTGTAGCCGAATTTTACATACAAAACAAACGGACCTGGAAGCCAGGAACGGTAGTAAAATGCCTAGGGAAATTACATTACCTTGTCCGATTAGAAAACGACCGAATAGTGAAACGACACGTAAACCAGCTCAGAAGAAATGCACCTAAACAAGTAACCTTCAACCTACCAGAGGAGCCACAAATCCAAAAACCATTGGAATATGAAGAAGAATACCAACCTGCCATTTTACCACGTAGTTTAGATCGACAAGAAATGGAGCAGATTCTGATTCCAGAAGCAGATCGTCCAGAACCACCACGAAGATCAAATCGAAACCATAGACCACCACCCTACCTGAGCGATTACCAGATGAATTATATAGCAGGGGAGACTGTAGTGAATATTAAGAGGTCTCCACTGGTAAAAACAAGCGTACCAACTGACGCTTCCTGTTAGTTTTTTTGTACGTATAATGCCAGTTCAGTGACATGTTAGATTTTGTAATGTGAATATATAAATATATAACTTTTTGCTGTGTTGTACCGCGGGTTAATTTCTATCCACCCACTTCGTCATGAGCATTGGTCACCACAAATATGGTTACTTCGTTTTACGATTACCACGACCACCCTATCATTGCGTTTGTAATCCTATCGAACATATTTGGGCCATAGCGAAAAATTATTACAATCGACACATTTGTAGAGATGGACGAAGCATTGAAAATTGCATAAACATGTGACAGGAAACACTACAATCGATAACTTCCGAAACGTGGCGCAATTGAGTTAAGGATACGGAAACTGTAATACACGAGTGGTACGAAAGAGAAAAGCAGTTACATCTTGAAAACGTTGCTACTATTATTATAAACTTTGAACACGAAAGCAGTTCCGATGATTCCGATTAATTTGAATATCATCCATCACATAACCTGTAAAATTTTATATTTAGGACTTTCTCTGTAAAAGAGATGCTACATTTGTACAGTTCATAAGTTATTAAAGTATATTGTATGTATATTGTGGTTCCAATTAACGAAATGAATAATAATAGTATATTAAGTATGGAGAACGGTAAGGGATTTTTACCGTTCGAAGACAATCGTTTGGAGGAGGAGCGAAGCGACGACTCCAATTATTGTCTGAGAACGGTAACCCTTAACGTTCGACGTACTTATAACATTTTTTGCGCGATCGAAATTAAAATTATCCAACCAATGCACTACAGTGGCGTAACTTCATTTTAGGGGCCCGTCTTCAAACATATTTGGGGGCCCTTTCCACTACGCTTAATTTAACCCCTTGGATTTCTAATGACAGCCATCTCACAAATATAAATGCAAGTTCACTAGAAATGCACCCAAAAGATTCGGATTCTTTAACAAAGATAGCACCCTCATATCGATCTTCTGACGTTACTCGATTCTGACTTATTAAAAAAACTTGACGGTTAGGACTAGCTACAGGAATTGCTTGTGAAGGCTTCAGGAATTGATCAATTTTAACCAATTTATTTCTTCGCTGTACAGCGTTTTTTTGGCATTTTCGTCCACTCCGAGATGTCTGATTTCAAAATTTCAAATACCATTGACGTATATCAAGGCACCGCTAAAGATACATTAACCTTTAAATACAATGCTGTCATTAGTGTCACAATTTTTATATCAACAATGTTTAAACAATTGTAACGTTATTTATAAATTCGGGTTCGATTTATATCAATATTTATTAAACAAAAGTAAAACACTATAAAATCCGTACAATTTATATCGATTATTTATATCACTCACACTTCGCAATTTATTTCAGATGTTTCATACGTACTCGTTCGGTAGTAGACTGCCGCGATGTTCGGTCCGCAACCATTTATACACGCAAGCAATGTAAGTCTAGTACATTCTCGAATAATCGCGCGCGTAGAAAATTCCAGAGTGCCAAAGGCGACGTCATGTCTGGAGCATTTCCGTTACACTGCCCCCTTCTTAATTCTGGACGTCTCGTTCAGAAACTGCGTTAGTATTACTTTTTAATGCCTCGTGTCGGAATCTGCAGTCAGAGCCTGCTCGACAAACACCTTTCTTAAAAAAGTAACAGTCCACAGTTTTGCGGAGGGTCGTCCCCTGTGGGTTGAAGCAGCATACTGTAATTCGAACGCTAGTGTTTCTAAAAATCACTTCGATCATGGTTCGCACTATCTTCCAGTCCAACCCATCTAAACCACATCCAATCTTCGGGATCGCCAAGCTATTTATGTCATAGTATGCCATGAGTTTCTTTAAGTTTTTTAAAGCAGACCAGAGGTTTTCATAGGTGGGGTTGCCTTCTGACGTTTTCTTCGAAACCAAGTAGAACAAAGAGCGTTGACTATCTTCCAAGCGCAGTACTTTACCCACTCGTGGTCTTTGCTTTATCAACTCGTCTATTCTTCCAAATCTTTTCCGGAATACGGAAGCTATACCTCTACCCATGCGAAGGTCTTCGGCGACACAATGGGCGATGGAAACGTTAACCGGAAGCTCCAAAATATTTTGACAAATTTCCTGAGTAACGCCAAATCGAGCTTTCTTCCGCTGGGCGTAATTTGACATAAAATCGTTAAAGTTTGGCTCGATCCCAAAGCTGTGTTCCTCTTCTCGAATACCTCTAACGTCTTAGTTGTTGTTGGATCCGGCATATCGTGCGAGTCGATTAATGTGGACAACTTTCGGTTTCCGGTGGTTCATTCTGATACGATATATCACGTCATTTATTTTCTTGATCACCTCATATGGACCTTCCCATTGTCTTTGTAGCTTGGGAGAAAGACCTCTTCGCCTCTGTGGATTGTGCAGCCATACCAGATCTCCAGCTTCAAAAGTTTCATTGGCCGAGCGGAGGTTGTATTGATTTTTCATGCGATCGCTGGCAATCTGAATATGACTTCTAGCCAAGTCGTGAATGTCATTCATCTTCGTCTTTAGTTGGTCAACATAATTTTCACCTGCGACATATTCTTCATGGGGTTTACGCCCAAACTCGAGGTCACATGGAAGGCGTAGTTCACGACCCAACATAAGGCAGGCAGGAGTCTGACCCGTGGTCTCGTTGACAGCTGATCGATATGCCATAAAGAGCAGGTGGAGGTACTGGTCCCAATTTTTCTGATGTTCTGCCACGACTTTTGAAAGATATTTACCCATCGTTCGATTCATTCTCTCAACCATCCCACTTCTGACACCAATGTAACGTTATTTATAAATTCGGGTTCGATTTATATCAATATTTATTAAACAAAACTAAAACACTATAAAATCCGTACAATTTATATCGATTATTTATATCACTCACACTTCGCAATTTATTTCAGATTTTCGCGCTCGATGTTTCATACGTACTCGTTCGACAGTAAAAACTGCCGCGATGTTCGGTCCGCAACCATTTATACACGCAAGCAATGTAAGTCCCGAACATTCCCGAATACGCGTAGAAAATTCCAGAGCGCCAAAGGCGACGTCATGTCTGGAGCATTTCCGTTACACAATGTTAGTCTGTATATGTAGGAAATACAGTCTTGATTTAACTTTGCTGATTTTTCATTTTGGGGCCCATTGTAAAATTTAGTGTCATTTTGTTTTCCGGGTTCAGTCAGAGTCCAGTTGATTTTGCTCGAACTTTAATTGTCAAGTTTTGTGCAATATTTGTGCCATAACAAAAGGTAATGCACTTAATTTTAATTGTAATTCTTCGTGTTATGGTGTATTGTATTGCCTTCGCCAGCTTCGCCTACTTGTAACTGGCTATAGGTAACCCTTGAATTTGTTTGTTATACTTTAAATGCTATTCTTATTTTGGTTTGTTTAAGATTGGCCAGTTGTTAATGCTTTTTCGATGTTTAAACTCGTTTAGTTTGATTAGTGACTTCTTTGTGTATGAATCTGCGTATTTTGCCGTGCAGAGGTGCAGGGTTAAAATTAATTAGCGACATTCATCTCGAAATACAACTTCAATCCAGGGTTACCGTAGCCGAGACCTTCAGATACCTTCTGGATTGTAGAAGGTGCCGCTAACGGCTAATCAACAAAGAATTTCATGTAATTTATGTAAGGGACCCGAATATTATTTTTCACAAATGGGAAAGGAGCGGAGTTCCTTTTAAATCTATTTGAGCTGGATACTTTTCAGCATATCAAATTTTGTATTAGATTAAAGTCAGATTTAAATTATTCCAATTCAAGAGTTACTTCCTCGGATTGTTAATTTTTCTATATTGTAGATGTTGCTCCAAATTTTTCACTTATATTTACCCTCTGTGAACAATGATTCGGAAGTTTCTTCGGCTCGGTTCTTTTGTCCAATGAGTTCTAGGGGAACACGGCATGGCTTTGGCTTTAACTGCTTTTTGTACATTTGTGCCAGGGCCCCTTTTAAGTCGGGGCCCGTCCTCGTTGCGTACCTTTGAGGCATTGTAGTTACGCCACTGATGCACTAAGAAATTAACGAGCAGAATAAATCGAAATAATCGAAGTGGTATGGTGTACATTACTAGGCAACCAGTTTAAATGTCAAAATTGAAATTAATAATTTCATAAAAATGTGCATGTGTCTGATGTAGTTTACTAGCTTTGCACTTCCTTTATGACTTTATGAGCGTCTTGCTATAGGAAACAACAGCACAAATTGTACGTTTAATGTACCTAACAATAATTAAAGATTAAATGTAATGTAAGACTTGATTTTTAAAAAGTCGGTACGTATTTTTGCTGTTCTGTTTTTAGATCGGTAAGTAATTTTGGCGTCGTCGTAATCATAGCAACTGGTAAATTCTACGTACTGTCATGGAAACGCCCATGGTAAATAGTCAGAAATGACCGATCGCGCAAAAAAATTATTTTTCCTACTACCTCTTTAGAAAATATCATTTCTCGCCCCGTTTTTAGGGTCGAAAGCTGCACTTTTCCTCCCTAAGGGAGGAAAAATGTTTTTCCTCCCTCAACTCCATATAACGTATCTAAGCTTATAACTAAACAAAATACCCTTCAATTACAACTAACTTTATTTATATGTACTTGTTATTCTCAGTGCTAGTAGAAGAACCGAAGTTAAAGGTGCAATTACTAACATTGTTGAAAGTAATGTTACCAGAAAAAGGAGAGGAAGATTGATTAACGTTGAAACCTGTACTTGTCAATGTTTGTAGAGTTCATTTGATGTTCTCCAGAAACTTTTGAGGAGAGCATTCCGCATGTAATTTGGTTAGAAACTTTACTTTTTTTACGATTGATTCTCCTAAATAGCCCTCGGCTACGTCGGTAGAGCGCCATCCTCCGTGTCTCTTTAAACTCAATAAATCTCCTCCAGCATCAACCAACAAAGACGCGGAGGTGCGCCGAAAACTATGCCCAGTGTAACCTTCTGCATCTGGTAGCTCGAGGTACTTTGCAATTTTATATGGTATTTTGGCAATTGTATTTTTCCCTATGACTTGGATAGTGCACTTCCCTTTTATGTAATTAACAAAAAATCTTGTATGTTCAGTTTTAGCAGAGCGTAATGAAACATATTTTCTATAAATTCCATGTACACTTGTTCCATTAATGGTTTCGTTAGTGATTACAAATGTTATTTGCATTTTTGTTTTGCTATCGGGTATTTTCACAACTAATATGTCTCCATTATCCTGAATATCATGCAATGTCAATTTAATTAGCTCATCGCAACGGCAAGCTCCGGCAAGTCCAATAATTAAAGCAACCTATACGAACAAAATATAGCGTTCATAATGTATCAAATTCAAATCATCTCATAATTACCTTCATTTGCAAGTAATAGTCATCGGGCGCCTCCGAAAGTAATCTGTTTAGGTCATTCCTACAGAAAATTTTATCTTTCTTTGGTTTATACCCATTTCCTTGACGTATAAGCAAAGCTATGACTTTTGCATACTTATTGTCAACGTTGTCGTTTATAAGTAATGTGGTACGTAACATTGAATATTTACTCCACATCGTCGATGGTTTAAGCGTTTTAGAATGATGCGCAAAATATGCTAAGATTACCTCTTCAGCAATTTTCTTGACTTTTCTCCCCATCATCCAATTTTTGAAAGCAGTAGGTATATTCTTTTTCGTATCTGTCCCTAGATTTTGCAGGCAGTAGATCAAGCGATGCCTGATTAGCTTCTTCTAAAATGTCTGAGGGAATATTTTCCTCTAAATCACTTTCTATTTCCATATTTCCTGATGAAAAATTACAGAAACGACCAGTACACAAGCTACTGTTTATACCGCTACCATGGCAACATAACTTCACCATGGATACATCCTAAATTTTTTAGTGTAACTAGATGGCAAGCGGTCATCTTACCGTAGAAATCTTTGCTAAATTAAAGTTGAGGTAGTAGAAAAAATCATATGTATAACTCTGGAGGAAAGTACATATCCCTCCCTTGTGTGATTACTGCCCTCCGCTTCGCGTCGGGCATTAAACTTCACACGCGGGAGGGAATCTTTAACTTTCCTCCCTTGTTATACAAATAGCTATTTATTTTATTTAAGGTGTGGATTGTTCACACAAACAATGCACTGTCTTGTTGACAAGTGACATAACCTAAATCGCTCAAAACTAGATTTGGCATTATTGCATAGTAATTACGTCATAGAAAATGATGACGTGCCGGGTGCAACGGAAGTTATACGGAATAAAATAAAGTGTACCTGTTTTGTTGGGCAATTTGTTAACCACAGCAAACTTGCTACAATAGTCTACTACAACTAGGAAATCTTTAAAGTCAATGGCAATTTTTTGCCAAGGTCGGTCAGGTACGTCATGTGGAGACAGTGGTTCTCTCGCATTTGACCATTGACTTAACACACTATAGACAAACGGTGTAGGCTTAAAAAATGGCAACACAAATGGAGCTGGAAATGTTAGTATGGAGCTGGGCCACCAAATCGTCGCAGCGCCACTCTCGTTGTTATTACGTCATGAATAATTATTGTACCTACAAGTGCATGCACAGTGACAGTGACAGGTATTGACATTGACAAGCGCGGATTAATAAGAACGCAAATTTTGCATAAAGCTAAACCTCCATGGCATCAAGACGAAAAGGAGTTTGTCATAAAGTTATACTACAAGTCTGGCAACACACAAATTTCTGGAGGCAAAATATCGTGTTGCCCGCAATATCTACCTTAAAAGAATGGATTTCGGCATCTAAATCCACTACAGGATATAATTCAGCATAGTTCGAACAAATTAAACAAAAAGTTGTACCTAATTGCTGGCTCATGGGTGGAAACTACTGTTACCACACTTAACATATCCTATTGCAGCTACTTTTTGGAAACCATATAGCTATCTTTTACGTGTACAGAGATCGAATGTTGGACATCAACACTATATAAATAATTGCCTTTCATTTTTTTGGGAAAATAATTGTGTTTGATTGATTGCTAATTTCCTTTATTAAAATAATTCGTAAGGTACTTATTACAAACGTGAAAAGCCCCGTTTAACATGAACATTGTCATTTGGTAACGCGATAGAACAAATAATACCTAAACTGTACGAGAAACCCTAACATGGATGATGGAAATTTGATGTTTTGTCTCCTTAACTTCTAAGGACAGGCAATCGAATTTCAATAGGGATTTATACTTAGATCACTTATTAATTTATACATATTTCAAATTCATGTTATACTCGAATAACTGTACAAATTTAAATGTAATAGTTATTTATATAACAAGAGCGCGAAGTTCAATTACGCGCATTGAGACTGAAGGTATTTTAACGAGGCGAAGCCGAGTCAAAATACCAGTCAAATGCGCGAAATAACTTCGCGCTGGCGTTATATACAATATTTTTTCTATCACTGAACCGATTGTTAATCAAATTTGCTTTTAAGTACAACTTTGTCATCTGTGCGAAATACTTTTTTTCATTGTGGACGGTTTCCCGTTGTCAAGAGCAACCTTACTTATTAATTAACCGTTTAAAAATCTAGTAGGTACTTCGTATTTCGAAATTCGTCAGAAAATGACAAGTTTTTTTGACATGACCCATAAGAGTCTCTTTGATATTGCGCAAAACTAATCCACAAGTGAATTATCATCCAGCTATATACCACCACAAATAAGACAAAAAAGCAACGCATGTTAATTAAATTTACAAACACCCTACAGCCAATTTTGCTTTTATTAAAAATGAAACACTTTTACGGTCAATTATCTGTTTGTTTGCTTGTTCCATTTACAGCTTTCAACGTTCCTGCGTATAGACATTATTAACGATAACAGATTGGAAGTTCTAAATTAGGGGCCCTTCGTTAGATAATATAATTATTACAATAAAATGCTCTAATCATTTAGAAACAAATAGTGAAGAAAAGTGCGACACTTCTTAAAATAACCTTGACAGATAAAAATTCGCGCCATTTCCGTCTGATGGTCTGCGGTATTGAACTACTTTTGAGGGAATTGTTCTAGAGTCCTGGAATTCTTCGCAATAGGTAGCCTATACCTTCAAGGTATGCCAAACGGCCTTCAATTCTTTTTGTCTTAAGGGGAACTCTTCTCATAAATTATTTCCCGACATGATATTTCTGTAAGTAGAGGTCAATTTGTCTCAGATTTTGCATAGGGAATAGGGATGTCTCTAGTGACGTCTAGTAAAACTTTGGAATAAGAAGGAGGGGCGAGACGAGGTGAATACATAGTATTCTAATGAAAGGCCTCATCGAAAGGAATAATTGGTTTCAACAAACTATAACTTTCCTCCGCCTCTTCTTTTCTAGATCAGTGGGTTTCATGGTATATCGATTCTAATTAAGCAGGACGCACACTATCGCTGATTGGAATGGAATGGAACGGAAGGGAAAATTTGAAACCATATAATTAAGTTAGAGTTCGCAGATTATCGCGGATCAGAACACCGCGGAATGGATTGGAACGAAACGGAATAACTTGGATTGCTCACTGAGCGAATTTTTCCGTAGTTCCACAGCCCTCTTCGTTTAGTTTAGGCCAGGGGTCGGCAAAATATGACACGCGTGTCAACAAGTGACACGCGAAAGTATTTTAGAAAACACGCGGAGGAGCAGACCGAAATATACTGTACCCATCTTACTCTAAATTTGCAGCCGAATATTTTCGACATAGTAAATACTCAATGTTAGTTTAATCATCAAATGTATACATGCAAAAATTCGTCTTAAGTGTTTCATTTAATAAATGTATTTTCACATACTGATTTTTTTATTAATTATTGGTTTAAACAAAACTTGGTGACACGCTTAAAGGTATTCTTTAATTGGTTAAAAAAATGACACGTTGAAACTATGGTGGTGCCGACCCCTGGTTTAGGCGAAGGTGCGTACAATGCGGGTTTACTCCTATAGGAAATAGAGTAAAATAGCTTTCACAATTGACAATATACCGTAGCAATTTTGGTTTTTGTTTTCTCTCTCATTTCTTGCTTCAAATTCAAAACTACACACAGCGCTACAAATTCTTTGTCTAATGCATCCATTGCGAAAAAACAGTAGTACACCCTAAAACTGGATCAAGCTAGTCTGGTAATAAATTACTCATATACAAATAATTTTTTTTCCGCGGAATTCCGGGCTAATATGCGGAGATTCAGAATTTCCATTCCTTTCCATTCCATTCCGGTCCATTCCATTCCACGATAGTGTGCGTCCTGACAGGGCCGTAGGAACCAGAGGGGGGAGTGGTTGCCCCCCATATTTTATACTGGGGGAGCAAAGACTGTATTTTGCAACCCCCACATTTTAGTGAAAATCGTCCTTGTCGTGAAACTGTGGAAACAAAAATTCGATTTTTACGCAAATACTAAATTCTAATGTATTTATTTTTTCGGGTTTCCCGAATTGAAAAATAATCAACGAGGTCATGAGCAGACGCAGAATTTCTCAAGCTATAAGAAACCTCTTTTATTTCAATAAATGTTCAAAATGGTTTCCGTTATTGGTAAGACAGTAGTATAATCTATGTTGGTTTTGCAACATTTCGACATTCTTGAATTATTATCTGTCTTAGTTCGTCTATGTTCGCCGGTTGCGTTTTAAATACGACAGATCTCAAATGTACCTATCATATTAGTTTATTTTTTGATTTGCACGATAATTACTAACCTAAATGTAAACTATGTCATTGTGATTCCCCCTCCGAATTACCGAAACGGATTTTGAATTTTTAAAATATCTCGTTTATTTACTATGACATGGGGGGTGGTAAGTTTTCAAATTGCCACCCTGTATGTGTTTTGAGTGCTTGCATTCCATATTTCTAGCCATTCCATCCAATGCAGCCTCTGTTGTCCTTATAAATAACCACACCTTCTTTTATAACTATATCCAAATCCTGCCTGTATGTACGAACACCTTAACACGGAGGCGTCACTCGTTTCCATTTTATTGAATGAGAACTCTCCTTTGATGAATATTCGCTTTATCTGTTCATTTATGTAAACTATAAAGTGGGCAAGTTCGAAGTACAAGTAACAGAATAGGTAGGTACCTAGAATCATTGATTGAATAATAATTATTCAATGGTAGAATATAATCATGTAGTGTAGGTATTATCATTGACTTTATATACTATAGACAAACGGTGTAGGCTTAAAAAATGGCAACACAAATAGAGCTGGAAATGTTAATATGGAGCTGGGCCACCAAATCGTCGCAGCGCCACTCTCGTTGTTATTAAGTCATTAATAATTATTGTACCTACAAGTGCATGCACAGTGACAGTGACAGGTATTGACACTGACAAACGCGGATTAGTAAGAACGCAAATTCAATCGTCATATCCGGCAAAGGGCGCCCTTCTTGTTTTATTCTCAGTTTTTCCTCCAGCGATAAACGCGAAAAATTTGCGAACTTCCTGGTAATGTCCTCCACATCCATTATTTATAAAAAGTAACGCTCACAGAAACAACAATAATCCCGAAAATAAACGCCAACGCAACATAGCAACCTGTTTCGGTACTGTCTTCGCTGCAGCTCCGTTATCCCCTTAAGCACGTGGTTAATTGACGTCATCTGCTAATCGTTGATTGGCCGAGAGGCCATAAAACT